AGTTGAATAATTCTTCCAATCAAAATTTCATTGATTTTTAGAATTGAATATATTTGCTTGCAAATTTCATGTAAAACGACGTCTATCTCATCAATCGAACAACTAATACTTTCAATTATAGCCTCCGATTGAGAAACCGCTACCGATTATTCACGGTACCGCACGACCGCCACCGGAATGGGGACGTACAGAGAATGAAGAACTGGAACAGCTTCGAAAAATTATTGAACCACGGAAATATATCGAAGAAATAAAAGTGACGAATGTTCGACCACCCATTGAGCCCATTCCATTATCGATACCACAAATGGATTAATCATATCTAAACTCAATAACCACTTCCTTACTTATTTTCTAAATTGAAAAAAAAAAATCTAAAATCCAGAATTTATTAAAAATTCCAATTTTTTCAGTGATAATTCCTATCATCAAATTATATCCAATAATTGTTTGCAATAAATTGCTTCACGATTTATTCGTTAATTTGCTTGCCTTTTGAATTTAAATTCCTAATTTTAATTAGCTATCTTCGATTGGTTGTATGAATAAATTCATAAAATTATTCATTTCTGCTCTCTATTAATGCAATTATTCGTTTTAAATAAAGTAAAATTTTATGGAACACTCGTAATTTTTAATTCCAAATTTCAGTTCTAACAATACAATAGACAGCATCATCTTTTGCTCAATTCAAATTAAATGACTTTTTATCTGTTTAAACTGCTTGACACAGTCGAGAATCATGAATTTTTTATTGATGTTAAACATTTGCTAAAATATACTTGCTTATTTTCTTCCATAGAAGTTATTCTCTTGAATTTTTTTTTTTTTATTACAACCCGTTTTTTTCCTATTTCATATAATTTCTTCATTACACTTTATTTACAGTATCATTTATTTTAGTATACCATATTTGGGCACTATTTCTTCATCCTAATTCATTCATTTATGCTACCATTTCTTTACTACAATATATTTCAAGCATCATTATATTATTACAGCATATTCAAAGTACCATTTCTTTATTACAATACATTTATGATGATTGATTAAAGTATTGAGCATACATACAGTTTGCATTTCAGCTTTGGAATTTATTACAGCAATACTGAATCCATTATTATAGCAAATGCATCATCAGCCGATATTTCCTTTTTACAATTATTTAAAATATTTCATTTTGATTTTGAATTTCACATTTTCTAGGATAAAAATTTAGGTCAGTTTTGAAATCTACAAACAGTAAAATAATATGACTGCACAGCAAAAAATTGAAGAATAGCTAAACGATGAACAAATAGATATAATAATTTATTAATTA